TTATTTATCTTATTTTTATGTTGTATTTCTATTTCATGTAACTGTTTTAAATGGTTTACTTTTATTTTGGTTATGCTTTCCTCATATCTCAACTTAAAAATCGCTAACTGTTGCTCTTGGTCCATCACTTGTTTTATACGTTGCAATTTTCTTCTTCATCTGGTGAGTTTATTAATTCTTGATTTATACACTTCCTTTTTTTCCTTTGTATATCTATACTAGAATGTATTGACTCTTTATTGCAATTTTTCAAAGGAAGTATCTCTGTAAAAATAAAAAGCAGTTTTGCTATTATATTTTCTACACATCAGAAAAATGTTAATGTTATATACTACTATTTAAACATAACATATATTATAATATAAAACATTTTGTGCAATATATACCTTGTGAATCAACAATCTTGACATTACTTTCATCATTTGTAGAATGTTCTCCGTTTATATTATCTAATTTATTTTCATTTATATTAATACATATTGCATTCAATGCAAAGTTATCTTTATCTGAAATACATAAAAGTTTATAAAATAAAAGTTAATAAAATAAAAGTAAAACACGTTGATATAAAAAATATTTAAAAACATGTGATATATATATATATATATAGGTTGCGTGAAAAGTTCGCGGAGCGAAACTGAAATAAAGAATACCAAATTCTAAAAATGATTTTATTCTTTAATATAGTTTCCATTAACTTCAATACACTTGGCCCAATGACTCTCCAATAATTTTATTTCATCGCGGAAGTGTGTTTCTGGAAGGTCTGCGAAATATGCCTCTACGGCTGCTATAGCTTCTTCATTCGACAAAAAACGCTTTCTACGGAGGAATTGTTTCAGGTTTCGGAACAGATATAAGTCGCTGGGTGCCAAATCTGGCGAATATGGTGGATGATCAAGCAATTTGTACTTCAATTCATTGAATTTAGACATTGACAAAACACTTTTGTGAGCAGGTGCGTTGTCTTGGTGAAAAATGATTTGTTTGTGCTGCAAACCACTTTTCTCACGAATTTTTGCGTCCAATTGATCTAAAAGGTTACAATAATATTCAGAGTTAATTGTTTTACCTTTTTCCAGATAGTCAATTAACAAAATCCCTTTAGCATCCCAAAAAACTGATGTCAAAACCTTTTTCGCCGATCTTTCATGCTTTGTTTGCTTTGGAGCTGAACATCCAGCTTCAGTCCACTGTAAACGTTCCTGTTTCAATTTAGGATCATGGTGATAGATCCAAGTCTCATCCATAGTTACAAAACGACGCACAAAATCGGTTTTATTCTTCTTAAAACGATCCAAACGACGCTGAGAAATTTGCTTTCGAGCGAGTTTTTGTTGAATTGTTAACGTATGCGGCACCACTTTTCCAAACACCTTTTTCATTTGTAATTTTTTATGCAAAATATGCCATACCCGTTCACCTGAAATGCCTATGGTATGAGCAATTTCACGCGTAGTCACACTTGGATCTTCAGAAACAATAACATGTATTTGCTCAATGATTTCTGGTGTTGATGCGCTTTTTGGACGTCCACTGCGTGGATCACCTTCAATGCTTGTACGACTACATTAAAACTCAAGTGCCCATTTACAAACCACTGTTTTTGAAGGAGCAGATTCCCCTAACACATTTACCATCTCGGAATGAATTTCTATTGTCTTTAAACCTTTTCTAACAAAGAACTCAATCACTGCACACTGTTTCAAATTTTCCATTGCAAACATATACTGACACGTCAACTTCAATTGGCTTGTAAACACAGAAAGAATTGACAGATGGAAATGAAACCTAACCTAGGTTCATGTGAAGAGTGATTCTATATAACCGAACGGATATAACATCAATAAGTAAACGGTAGAATTACATTGTAATTCTACCGTTTACTTATTGATGCCGCTCCGCGAATTTTTCACGCAACCTATATACATATATACAGGGTGTCCGGAATGTGATCATTAATATTTTGTGTACTGGTAGAACTCGTTAAAACAATTAAAAAAGTCCTGTGCCATTTTACAATTTTTTCAATATTTATTCCGTAATTAATTAAAATGTGTAAACGAATGAGCGCACGAGAAAACGACAGGACGGGCTCTATGTATAAGATGGCTTACCTCACGCAGCGAAAGGCAACCGTAAGCGACAAGAGGCATGCGCGCACGACGAGCGAGCGAGCGCGAACGACGAGCGAGCGAGCGCGAACGACGAGCGAGCGAGCGCAAACGACAAGAGGCGGCCGCCCAGCGCCTCTATGCGCTCATTGGCTTACATGTTTCAATTAATAACTCGATAACTATTACCAATTTAACATTACGGTACATGACTTTTCTTCTCGGCTACACCCAATCTACCAGTACACAAAATATTAATGATCACATTCCGGACACTCTGTATATTGTAAGAAGTTCAAAGGTGATGCAATTAATTTTAAAGAAAAAGATAATTTTGGTATTCAAGTTCTATTTCATAATGTCATAAAGAAATATTAATATATAACATTTAAACTGGTAACTTATATTAACAAATACCTTGTGAATCAACAATTCTTATATCGTTCTCATCACTTGTGAAATATTCCTTGTTTGTATCAAATATTTTTAAATTATTATTAGTAGACAATATGTTAAATGCAAGCTCGTGCTTTCCTAAAATGTATAGATAAAAGTTAATAGATATTAAATATAAAAATAAGAATAAAATATATTGATATTAAAGAAAATTCAATATATTTATATTGCTAGTAATTTAGAAGTGATATAGTTTATTACAAATATACCTTCAATTTCTGTTTCTGTCATATTTGATGTGAATACCACCGGTGCAGTTGTCATAAGATGTGGAACTATATTAAGAATATTGGGATCAATATTTGCATCTTCTTCCTGTGGTCCCCCACCAGTTGCTAGACGTGATTGTCTTTCTTTGGTTAAGGCATCTCTTTGGGACTGCTTTAGATTTGTCCACAATTTTTTTAACTGTTGCACAGTTCTCTATAATCATATTTTTATTTATTAAAGCATAAAAAAAAAGCATAAAAAAGTGGATACATAACGGACGTCCAATGGACATCCGTGTGCTGTCTGGGTATGTATTGAAGCATGTATATTATATAGTTCTTATTTCTTGTGAGATCAATGTTGATTGGTTATATTTTTCACATATTTCACTCCATGCGATATCTTTATCTTTTAATGTCGTAGCATCACTTTTCTTAATTTCTATTACATGTTTATATTTTTCAAGTATCTGTAAAAATACTTTTTATTCCATTGACGTATAGTGTTTGTTTTTACTTGAAATAGGCTTTTCTTTGCATGACATTCTGTACATAATACAATATTTAATAAAAATTATTCAGTAAGATTCAAATAAGTATTTTGTTTTGTTTATATATGTAATACATTGTGATATTCAGTTACTTATAATAGACTACAGAAATTACTGAATTTTATACATATAGTCTTTAGCTTGCTAAGAAAATAATACTAAACTTTATGAAATAATGATTTTATGATAGATATGTATAAAAAGTAATGCATACTGTAATGAAGAAAGAAAATGTGTCAAAAAGAAATAAATAAATAGATTACTTTAAGGTTATGGCTGTAAGAATGTTTTAATCGAGTTAATAAAAAAAGAAGTTAATAGTTAAAACAATATCAGTTTGCAATCAAATATTATTTACATAATCATTTATTTACAGATAATAATATTATTTACATAATTCATTATATTCTATCATTATTTATTATATTCTGTTTGTGCATTTTGCATGTAATCTACTTTTCTAAATTAGAAAATTAAAACGAACTCAAGTATATATCGTTGGACTCTGTTCACAAACCTGTATATTTTTTTAAGTTCTCTCTCGATGAAGGACAATTATTAAAGCGTTAATTCCTCTTTCTCTTTCTTTCTCTCTTTTTCTGAAAATGGCTCGTTATTTCTTCGATAACATTATATACAAGATAGAACGCAACCGAATAAAAATGTATCTCCAATGCAATATTCCTATTGGAGATTTCAATAGAAATATTACGGAAATAGCCGAATAGCAAATAAGTTCGATCTTAAGAACATTTTCGCCAAGATAATCTTAAAATAAATAAGAATTTCTTATCGAAAAACTTCTCCTCAAACATTATCTTATTTCACGACTATGAATTATAGGATCTTAAGACGAGCTTAATTAAATAAGACAATCTTGACGAAGATAATCTTAAATGTTGTCTTCAGCTTTGACTATGAATACGGGCCCTAGAGCAGTTTTCGTGCATAGTCGAGATTCAAACCAACGCACTCTACACTCTGCTGAGTTGACTGCGGTGCTAATATACTCTGCTGGGTTGAGGCTTTATGGTGAGAATCAACTTTAGCTTTGAGTTCGCCTCGTTGCCACGATTCAGGAGCGAACTCGATCGCCTCCGTGTGGAGCGAGTATCTCTCTTTCCGAGCGTCCGTCGAAGACCTCGGCTGTTAGGAACTGCGTTGCCGTCTTCTTGAGAGATTTGCGAGCTCTCTCTTGCTAAGTATCCGTCTAGGATCTTGGTGCGTTCAAAAGCGACGTGATCGCTTCTTCGAAGACTCTGAGCTCTCTGTCCAAGCGTCTTCAACGCCTTGGCTAGTCGCCCCGGAGCAACCGAGTCGCCTCTCGCGTGACACGAGCTTAGCGCTTTCTCTTGTACATCTCCACGCTTCTCAGGAACGTGGCAGCTTGCAGGCCGTTTAGTCCGGAAGGGCAGGCCATCCGAAACGACGGAGGTCGTTTCATTCAAACGCTCGTGGACGTATCTGTCACGAGTGTTCCTCGGGTTTCTCGGGTCGGATTTACGACCCGAATAGGCCGTACGAGACCTGAGTCTACTACCATCCTTGACTCCAATCCTTCTGATAAGGGTGTTCCGGCATCCGCGTATCTCCGCTCATTTCTGAGCGGAGTCGCAAACATTTTGGTCCTTCGAGCCGGATCGGAATCGAAGTAATTGCGCCTGCGCACAATGGCCAGTATAGAGGAACTGCTTGCTCAACAAGAGCACGTTATGAACACTATTCATCGAGCATTGCCTAATCTAAAAAAATTAGGTAAGGCCAAATGGACGATACCGGTTGTCCGCCAGCGCCTCGCCTCGCTCAAGGAAACATTTACTAAATGTCAAGAACTCGATATCAAGCTCAATATGAGTGCAATAGAAGCGCAAAAAGCCAATAGCAACTACTTTTCCTCCAAGCTCTTCTACCAATGTGAGGACTATTATAATGAAGCTGCCAACTTCACGGAAACGTTGGGGATGATCGAGACCTCTCAACCCTCCGTCATTCATAAAGTCTCACAGGACCCCGTTCGACCATCTTCTCATCTGCCGCGCCTTGATCTCCCAACTTTTGATGGGACGCCGTGCCAATGGGAAAGTTACAGGGATAGATTTCGGTCGCTTATCCACTAGGATAGAACACTCTCCGATATCGAACGCCTCCACTACTTGTTGTCAACCTTAAAGGCAGAGGCGCTAACCGCTTTAAGCCACCTAGTCTTGACCGACGCTAACTTTGACGTAACTTGGACGATTTTAGTGTCCCGGTATGAAAACAAACGACGGCTCATCACGGAACACTTGACCACTTTATTCCAGCTTCCAGCGCTTGCCACGGAGAATCCAGTTGGACTTCGAAAGTTACGAGACCTCACCAACTCAGCAATTCAAGCACTCAAGAATCTGGAACGCCCAGTCGATTATTGGGACGACATGCTAGTCCTCCTCGTCTCCCAAAATCTCGATCGGAGCACGCGAAAGGCGTGGGAGCTTCGGCTCGGAGACTCAGTGGAGTATCCCACTTACAACGAGCTCGATAAGTTTCTCAAGGCACGCCTCCGAGCACTGGATTCGATGAAACCGTTAGTGCCGAACCGCAACCATGAACTCGAGTCAGCCGGGACGATCAGAACCCGACCAGTGGTGTCGCATGCGCTCTCAGAAAACCACCCAGCAAGCGCAACAAAAAAAAGGTCAAAGGTACGACAAACAACCCTGTCGCTACCGGCAGGCCGGCGTGCCCACTGTGTCAGACTAATCATGTGCTCCATCCGAAGTTGTCCGAAGTTCCTCGCACAATCTCCACGTCAACGACTCGACGCGGTTGCCCCGTTACGGCGGTGCTTTAACTGCCTCTCTGGAAGTCACCGGACAGACGAGTGTCTGAGCCAACGCCGGTGTCAACTGTGTGCAAGGGCGCACCACACGCTCTTGCACCAAACAAGTGAGGCTGATGGTGCGAGAAACGCACATTCTCCCGCCGTTGAGGGCTCACCTTCCAGTACCGCTCATCCTGTGACGTCACATACATTGGCGCAGCCTACCGCTTCTGTGCTCCTCGCCACGACGCACATCCGTGAGCACACCACAGGGCCGAGCGACTACGATCGAGCGTTACTGGATCAAGGGTCCGCTGCAACTCTCCTATCAAACCGAATAGCACAATTGCTCCGAGTCAACAGGAATTCTTCGCCCCTTTGGATCGCAGAGATTGATGGGACGCGAACAAAAACTCGCGGTACCACCACAATCCAATTCAGTCCTTGTGGAAAGATGGAGCCGGCCTACACCACCACGGCACACATTCTCTCGTCCTTGACGCAATATAGACCAGATCACGTGCCATGTTCGACGGAGTGGAGACATATTCGAGGGTTGCAGCTCGTTGATCCTGACCCGTTCGGTTCCGACCTGATTGATCTGATCATCGGCGCTGATCTTTACGGCCGAATCTTCAGCGACGGACGACGAATTGGAGGGGGCGATGAACCGACAGCTCAGAACACGGTCTTCGGGTGGATCCTTTCGGGACGGGTCTCTTCCGGGAAAGTCGAATCGGTCATTTCCACGTACCACACCACGCTCGAAACAATTGGCCAGCGATTACGACAATTCTGGGAAATGGAGGAGATCCCAATCACTCGTCAATTCAGCCTGGACGATAAGAAGTGCGAGGACCACTTTAAAACCACCTACACAAGGACGAGAGGAGGTCGCTACATTGTGCGGCTTCCCTTCAAGTCCGCTGAACCGATGGAACTTGGCAACTCTCGTTCAATGGCGACAGCTAGTCTCTTGCGACTGGAACGCAGGCTAAGTTCAGACGTCGAGAAACAAACCGCCTATACCGCCTTCATGAAGGAATATGAAGACTTCGGGCACATGACACGAAAAGATCAGGATGACGCTGCTTCCATCGGTCAACGCTATTACATACCACATCATGCGGTCTTTCGGCAGAGCAGCGTCACTACCAAACTCCGTGTGGTATTCAACGCATCAGCCGTAATCACCACCGGTCACTCGCTCAACCAATTTCTATCGGCCGGTCCCAAATTGCAAACCGACCTGTTCGCGATACTATTAGCTTGGCGACAATACCGAGTCGTCCTGACAGCGGATATTGAGAAAATGTATCGACAGATCAGGATGGACGACCGGGGCGTCGACTTTCAGCGGATCCTTTGGAGACCAACCATAGCCGAACTCATTGCCGAGTATCAGCTTCGCACCGTCACGTACGGGACCACCAGTGCTCTGTTCCTCGCGCTTCGCGATCTTCAACAACTAACAGAGGATGAAGGAGCTCGCTATCCATTAGCGGTCCCAGTGTTGCGCCATAATGCGTACATAGACGATTGTATATTCGGTGCGGACACACTAGAATTAGCGGCAAAAATCCGGGATCAATTAACGGCCTTGCTAAGCTGCGGAGGATTCATCTTAAGAAAATGGGCGAGCAATCGTCTTCAATTATTGGACGAAGTGGATCCGGAGAACCACGGACTGGCAGGTGGAAAGGATTTGCTTCCAGACGATACCCTCTATGTACTTGGAATCTGTTGGCACCCCGGGCGGGACACCTTGCAGTTTAGGACGGCGCTTCCACAAGAGCCCGGAACCACTAAACACCAGATTTCGATCTTGTTCACAATATCAAGGTTCTATGATCCTCTGGGCTTAGCTACTCCAGTATTGTTGAAAGCCAAAATGCTTATGCAACACCTCTGGGCACTCAGGTGCGGATGGGACGAGACCATTCCGGAGTCGGTTAAAACCGAATGGGCCTGCATACATGCGGACCTGCCCGCCTTGGAAGAGTTGACAGTTCCTCGATGGACTGGTTTCCATCCGGGCCCACGCAGTTACGAGCTGCATGCCTTCGCAGATGCCTCCACGCGGGCTTACGCGGCGACTATATATCTCCGCTTAATTCCGCAAGTGGGTTCGTCGGCAGTCACGCTCCTGATTGCAAAATCCAGAGTTGCTCCGCTTAAAACGATTAGTGTATCCAGACTGGAACTATGCGCCGCTGTTCTGTCAGCGAGGCTGCTTCGACTGGTGACGACAACTCTCAAACTCGAAGCCAGCCCGATCTACTGTTGAACGGACTCTACCATCGTACTGGCGTAGCTCGCTCAGCCACCAAGTCGCTGGAAGACCTTCGTTGCGAACCGAGTTGTTTACATTCAAGCCTTGACAGCCGGAGCACGTTGGCGATACATTCCCACGTGTGATAACCCGGCTGACTGTGCGTCTCGCGGCCTATCCTTGACAGCAATTAAGGCGCACCAGCTGTGGTGGTCCGGACTTCGATGGCTCCAAAACCATTCCGACGATTGGCCAGGAATGTGGGTCGCGAACGAGGATGAAGCACGACGCGAAGAAAAGCCGATCAGTTGTACGCACATCGTCAGCAACACGGAGACATGGGACCTACAATCACGCTTCTTATCGTGGCCCAAGCTCCTACGCGTCACGGCTTTTGTGATGAGATTTATCAACGCAAAGCGGACCACCCATCCGATCGCGTTTGATCGGTCTGACCCGGCGTCCGTGGCATTTCCGTTCTGTTTACAAGCAAAGGAAATTGAATATGCCAAGCATTACTGGTTACGGAGGATGCAACAAGACGCCTTCGGTGCGGAGCTCGACTCTCTCTATCGCGGAAAACCGGTCGTTTCATTCAGTCCGATCTCGAGTCTGCACCCCTTTCTCGACTCGAATGGGCTGATAAGAGTCGGGGGAAAATTGGGCAACGCACCATTGACTGACGGAGGCAAACACCCAGTGCTGCTGAAGGCTCATTCGCTGCTCACTCAAGTGATCGAGCACCATCACCTTCGAACTTTGCACGCGGGACCAGAGCTCACTTTGGCATCGTTGCGCAACGAATACTGGATCCTCCGGGCGCGCGCTGTAGTTCGAGCTGTCCTGCACCGCTGTGTCAAGTGTGCCCGTGCGAGGGCTGAACTTCCAGCAGAACTGATGGGTCACCTTCCACAGGTCAGAGTGACAAGGTCCGAGCGCGCATTTACTCACACGGGCATTGACTACGCCGGCCCAATAGCGATTCGGACCACTCGAGGACGGGGATGTAAGTCTCACAAGGCTTATATCGCTCTCTTTATCTGCATGACGATTAAGGCCGTCCATATCGAGCTGGTCAACGACTACAGCACAGCCGCCTTCCTCGCAGCCTATGTGCGATTCAGCGCTCGAAGAGGCATCCCAAGAGCTATTTACTCCGACAATGGCACCAATTTCCAAGGAGCTAAACGAGAACTTCGAGCGGCTCACCAAAAGGCTCTCCGAAATCCAGATTTCCTAAATCAGCTCACCACTGTCGGAGTTCAATGGCACTTTATGCCCCCATCTGCACCTCACTTTGGCGGTTTGTGGGAGGCAGGGGTCAAGAGCATCAAACGGCACCTCAAATGCTGTATTGGAGCGCAAACTCTCACATACGAGGAGATAAATACCTTCCTCTGTCGGGTTGAATCCTGCTTAAACTCACGACCCCTCACAGCGGTGTCCGAGAGCCTTGACGATTATCGGCCGATCACTCTCGGCCATGTTTTAATTGGGACTTCCCTCTTCTCGCTACCAGAGCTAAGCCTGCTCAGTCTGCAGGAGAATCGGCTGTCACGCTGGCAGCTCGTGCAGAAGGCAGCCGAGGACTTTTGGAGAGCGTGGTCATCCGACTATATAAGCACACTGCAACAGCGTCCAAAATGGCGGGTCGCCACACGACTCGCTCAAGTAGGGAGACTAGTGCTGTTACGAAACGCTCACCCACCACCCATTCACTGGGAACTTGACCGCATCAGCGCCTGCCATCCCGGGAACGACGAGTTAACTCGGGTCGTCATCGTAACAACGAGTCGATCATCCTACGTGAGGCCCATCACTAAGTTTTGCTTCCTGCTGGTCGCGGAGCAGGACCAAGTCGAGACCGGCCTCGCTGCCACATGAGAGTGCCACATGAGAGTGCCACATGGTGGCACTCCCACATCTACCAAAGGGCTCTAATGATCAGTTGTGTCCGAGCAGCTGGCGGTGCCAATCAATCGCCTGAGCCCGCCAATCATAGTTCAATCATTTCAACTAACATTAGTCGAGGCGGGCGGTATGTTCGGGAATGCAGCCGATCCTGCAGAGCGGGCGGTCTGGCTTCCCGGCGCCGGCGTTCTCGCGGTCGGCGAGGTGCACGGTCTCTCGCAGGCGAGTGCATGACCGTCCCGCCGGTCGCCCGCGCCTAGCGAGTAGCTCGCCCCGACGCCGCTACGAGGCACGCCTCACGAGTCCGCGACCCGCGGGCAAGAATCCGCCGGCCGGATATATCATCTAGCGCAACGGCCAGCGCGGCGCCTTCGCATTGCCCAACGCCGATTGTGGCAATATCTGGTGTCTGGTCTGTGCGACTTGTAGCACCCGTCTTTACCGACGTTCTGTCTAGGCTTTCCTAGAGCAGTTTTCGTATAGTCCAGATTTCGTATAGAGCAGTTTTCGTATAGTCCAGATTCAAACCAACGCACTCTACATTATGCTGAGTTGTCTGCGGTGCTAATATACTCTGCTGGGTTGAGGCTTTATGGTGAGAATCAACTTTAGCTTTGAGTTCGCCTCGTTGCCACGATTCAGGAGCGAACTCCATCGCCTCGTGTGGAGCGAGTATCTTTCTTTCCGAGCATCCGTCGAAGACCTCGGCTGTTAGGAACTGCGTTGCCGTCTCCTTGAGAGATTTGCGAGCTCTCTCTTGCCAAGTATCCGTCTAGGATCTTGGTGCGTTCAAAAGCGACGTGATCGCTTCTTCGAGAACTCTGAGCTCTCTGTCCAAGCGTCTTCAAGGCCTTGGCTAATCGCCCCGGAGCAACTGAGTCGCCTCTCGCGTGACACGAGCTCAGCGCTTTCTCTTGTGCATCTCCACGCTTCTCAGGAACGTGGCAGCTTGCAGGCCGTTTAGTCCGGAAGGGCAGGCCATCCGATTTACGACCCGAATAGGCCGTACGAGACCTGAGTCTACTACCATCCTTGACTCCAATCCTTCTGATAAGGGTGTTCCGGCATCCGCGTATCTTCGCTCATTTCTGAGTGGAGTCGCAAACAAACATAATGAAAAGAATAACATACAAAAAGTATAATTAAAGGATTATTGCAATAGATTTCCACATCACCTGCGAGATACTATTGCTGATGCGTTTTTTTTTTTAAGTGGTTTCTCTAGTAGTAGTAGGCCTATTCCACTAAAAAATGAAGAATTACGATAGAAAGTATGGTTCGGCAGGAAAACTAGATGAAAAGAAGTAAATGATCATTTGGGAACAAGTAAACTAGGATTTCCTAGGTCCTTTAGACTGTACTATGGATGATCCAAAGACATTTTAGAAGAACTAGCTCGCATCAAGGAAAAAAGGGAAGTATCATTTAAAGAAGAATGTTTATCCGTTTTCGTCAATTTCATTCTGGAGAAGGAGCATTCACATAAATATGTGGACCCAAACATAGAAAAAATTCAAAGACCAAAATTTCGAAGACGTGGATAAGAAGAAGAATCTAAAATTTTAAAAAACTCGACCTCCTTTTCTAATCGGGATTTCAAAGAAATATCGCATTGCAAATCGCACAATTCTTCCTGAACAAATAGGCTTTGTTCCTCGATTTGGGCGATAAGAGGATTGCTGAAGAGCATCAAATCTCGTCTTAAACTAAATCTCGTCAAAATCACAGAAACGCCTATCAAATTTGTTGAGGGGTGGTTTGTAGTTGTTAAATAAGCGTTAGTACTGAAGTAAAATCGTATAATCAACTTAAGAGATACACTTGGTATATAGATAATGATTCTGCATACACAACTCTCTTTCTATTGTCTCGAAAAGAAAAAGACTACTATCGTCCACGCAGGACAAAAAGAACAGAACGAACTACTATGAGAGTGGACGCTCAGTCAATTGGAAGTGCACCACACACGCCCTCTCGCTTCCAAAACATTAGTTATGATGCACTCTACGAGGTGGCAATAGCAAGGAATATGTTTGTGTCCGATCTTTTTACCTCAACAAAATTGATCAATTAAAGATTGAATAATATTCAGTTGCTTAAGAAAATTACAATTTGTGCCGTGTTCTTCAAAAAGAATTTGGCAGCAGGGAAAAGAATGAAGAAGATTATCTTGCAACTGATTTTTAAGAAGCAACAATTTTCTACAGAAAGAATCTACACAACTAACTAACTGAGTAATAGTTTGGTCGAACTTTTGCAGCTTTAAATTTAAAATATTTAAATGATTAGTTATGTCGGTTATGAGAGCAAGCTCGCAAAGCGAATCTAAATCTTCGAAGAAGAATCTAAATTCGTCCAGTGTTGTAAGATATTCTTCTTGCAAAAAGAAAGAATATCTCTTTTCTTATTGCGAAGTATGTTTCAAGACATTTTCTTGCACTGAGCCATCGCACTTCACAATATAAAACATCTGTGTAGGTTGCGTTATGCTCTTCGAGAAAGTGTTTAAATTTACGCTGAGAAAGGAATTTTGGCCACCTTTAATTAAATTAATAATTTTTGTGACCGTTTTCATGGCGCTGCAGAGTTTAATATCTTTCCCACATAACGTTTCTTGATGAATAATACAATGAATAATAGGGAATGTAAAACCTCGCTGCTTTAAATGTCCGACGAACCCGTTTTTAAAACCTACCATTGATTTTGCGCCATCAGTGACTATACCCGAACATTTTGAAAAATTGATATCGAATTTTTGCAGACATTGGCTAACAGCCTTGAAAATATCTGCACCTGTTGTCCTACCATGCAATGGTATAAAATCTAAAAGCTCCTTGACATGTGAAAAATATTCAGTTTTGTACGATTCGAGTAAAAATACTCAGTTGACTCACATGCCGATTATCGGTGCTTTCATGAAGACATAAAAAATAATGTGAGCAAGACACTAATAAAAATTTTAACTTTTGTTCTAAAGAACAGGCAATATCGTCAATCCGTGATTTCACGGTTTTACGATTTAAAGGAATGCTTGCAGCTTCTTCTAAAGTTATAGAATCTCCAACGATTCCATTGCTGCGATGAGGCACTCCTTTACAAATTCCCCTTCACTATACAACTTTGAATTTTTTGCGATGAGATGTGCAATTGCAAACGACGCGGTAAGTGCTTTCGTAGAAGATTGAATATTCTCGACACTTAAATCGCGACCTTCTTGATGAACTAATTTTAATCCCTCAATTAGATTTTGTTTTTCTTCGTCCACATATTTGGAATACTCCTGACAATGAAGAGTATTATAGTGTCTATAAACGATATATTTTTTAACAACTGATGGTTGAAAACTACATAAAAGACAGATGACCCTATCGGAAATGTAAGCGAAGAAAATTTGCTCTCATACCTTATCAAAAGTTTGCCTAAACTTTTGATTCCTATCCATTGTTCCAAGAAATCCAGCCAAAAGACTACACCAAAGACACGAAATCACAAAAAAACTTGA